CAGGAAAACGATTCGCCGAACTGGAAATGAAAATGGTACTGTCACAAATTATTACGACGTTTCAAATTTTACCATGTGAAAAAACAGAAGTACCGCTCAAACTACAAAACGGATTACCCATGATGGTTGCAAAAAACGGGATTTGGTTACGTTTTCAATCCATTTCTGAATAAGTGGCACTTCTGATTCGATAATTATATGTATTGTGGTTCGGGAAAGCAATTGACCAGGGTACTACTTTTTAGAGTTGCCGAAAAATTGTAAAAAAATTAAATAAATAATAATGAATTTGTTGTAATTACTTATAATTGTTAAGTAATATAGGTGTTACTTAAGTACTTTTATATTTTGTGTAACTAATTTACGAAACATGTTCGATCATTATGAATTATGATTAACAAGTAAAAGATTCTTTTGGTGGTAAAGTGCTAAATTGTATGAACAGGAATATGTAATAACCAGGGCTCGTAAGTTCATGCATCTGCATGTTTTTTTTGCTACATAGGAAAACATGCTAACTGAGATACAAATCCGTTTCATAAAAATAGTAATAATAATATGAAGTTTGATAGTGCATGTTTTTGCATGTTTTGGGTGTAAAGTCATATTTGGCATATAGTTGATTTTTTACAGTCGTTAGTGCATATTATTTCATAAAAATATTTTTTAGACAAATATTTGAAAAGTTTTTTCCGATTTTTGATATCTTGTTCCAATCGTCCAATATCGCATGGTAAATTATAACGGTTTTTTAAATTTTTTATTGATTAATTATTTAGCTAATTAATAAAAATATCGAAAATCGGGCTTCTTACAATTGTAAAAAAAGTTCTACTCTACAATTTTTATAATAGGTATTTTTACTGTAAGCCACTTCAATAAGCCGTATTACTTGAATTACGAAACCATGGATTTATGCCATATTTTGTCTACTGGTGCGCCCTCTTAAGTTGGAAAACATAAAAAATACACTTATAAAATATATATAACTAAATTATCTCAAAATGAAAAATCTAATATTTAATTCCAAATGTTTTCATTATTTTTGCTGAATAAGGGTGTACACAAATTAGACAAAAATGACTACCTAATTAAAATTTATAAAGATGACAAAGCTATTTGAACTTCACAAGTATTAATTTTATTTTTTATTTTATTAATTTTGACTGTTAAATTTATAAAAATAAAAAGGAATAAAATACTTTTAAAAAATATGGATTTATTCTAACTTTAAAATTTGGTCATGTTTTTTTTACATAATGCATATTTTGAGTTTATAATTTAAAAATGTGAAGGCATATTGATATAAATGCATATTTTCGAACTTTTAAGTGCATATTTTAATGCATATTTTGACAACTTTTAGTGCATGAATGCATGCTTATTTATGCATTTTTTAGTGCATGAAGTTACGAGCCCTGGTAATAACTAATAATAGTATCTGCCGTCTGGTATGACATTATATAATATTATATTCGATAAACTATACACTTTGCAAGGCCGTATATGAGGGGGGATTTTGGGGGTTTGAAATTCATATTTATAATATATTATATGTATTTCCATGTTTATTAAATTTTTATAACATTTTTTTTAAGTTTATAACCTACATTTTTTATTTTATTTTATGAGAAAATACCATACACAAAAAATGATGTTCATAGTTATTATAATTTTATGTATTTTATGTATTACATTATATTTTATTTAATCATAAAAACAAAATTTTTAAACTCACGCGAATGGAACACAATGTGCGATCCATTTCGAAGTTAATTAAATAATAAAATATATTAAATATAACATTAAAACATTTGGAAGCACTCGTTTTATCTTAGCATATCAATATAAATTATCATAAATATTATTAAATAAGTATAAATTATATAATAATTAATATTATAATAAAACGTTAAATAATAACAGCTAGTAACATAAAATAGTACGATATAATATCTACTTTGTAATTAATAAATTATACATACAATTCAATATTCGTAATAATTGTGTAAAATATTTTGGAAGACTTGTGTACGTTAATTTTTAAAAAGCTTTATGTTAAAACTGGAAGACATATTTTTCGATAATATCACAATATTATAAATAAATGCTCACACTACACACGTATAATAGTTGTACAACTAAACGTGGAACCTATTTAGTTTCGGCCAACACCTGGCGAAGTCTGTCGTTGAACATGTGAGCGTGATGTGGTTGAAAGATCAACGCTGGTCGCATTCTGATACCCACTACTCCACATCCTCCGGATTGGACTCCTGAAAACATGAAAACATCATAATAATTACAGTCGGATCAGTCAGTACAATATACAGTAAGTCAGTAAATGGTACAATTTAATAACTATACACATTATGGATAATACAATCAAATGGAAAGAGAGTTACAGGTTTGTGCAGATGTATTAAATATTAATTTATGAATATTCACTCGATTTCCCATGTAGCGATTTCCTTATTTTGTTGTAATTCAAAAACAAATAACTGTAGATACATGAAAATTTCACTGAATGTTTAAATTAGCATTTTCTATACACCATACAATTTTGAAAATATTTTGACTCTTTTTGAGCTGTTTATGGACATTTACAGCTTTCAATTTTTTTTAGTTTTTTTTTTCTATAAATATCAATAAAGTTTTATCTGTTGGCCCAAAAAGTGGAAAAATTTAATACAAGGCTCCTGATATATTGTTACAATAGCAGTTGAAAAATATTAAAAATACATAGGCACAGTTTTTTTTTATAAGCATTTAAAGATCAAATTTTGACAAAATTTATCAAAATCTCGAAAATTATCAATCATTGTAATTAATAAATTATAAAATGTTCAGTTTTTATAGCTAAGGATTGCAAATTTTAAACAAAGGTTCTCATAAATAGTTCATACTGTAACCAAAAAATCTAAAAAATATATGAACACAGTTATTTTTTATAGACATTTTAAATTCAAATTTGGACGAAATTACATATTAAAAAAACCTAGAATAACTATTATAGTTATTTTGTTGTGATTGAATAATATTATTCGTGGGTACTTGAAACTTCTAAAGTGTACTATACAGAGTGATTTTTTTAAAGAAGAACACTCATTATTTCAAAAAGTATTAATGTTTAAGAAAATATTTTTTTACATAGTTTCAAGTTGTTAAAAAACAATATTTTTATTAAAAAATTATATTTTTAAATATTTTTTATCCTTTTAATTTTTTAAGTTTTTTACTTTTTTGAATGACAACATCTAATTTTAATTTGATATTCAAAAACAGAATATTTTTCTGAGTATTTCGATACATAAAAATTGAATTTAGGGCAATTAGTTTATGAGTTATAAGTATTTAAAGTTTAGATGAGCGGAGTAGAGTGGTACGGGGTTACCCCGCGAAATGTTTGTCCTCTAATCCGCTCATCTAAACTTTAAATACTTATAACTCATAAACTACTTGCCCTAAATTAAATTTTTATGTATTAAAATAATCAGAAAAATATTCTGTTTTTGAATATCAAATTAAAATTAGATGTTGTCATTCAAAAAAGTAAAAAACTTAAAAAATTAAAAGGATAAAAAATATTTAAAAATATAATTTTTTAATAAAAATATTGTTTTTTAACAACTTGAAACTATGTAAAAAAATATTTTCTTAAACATTAATACTTTTTGAAATAATGAGTGTTCTTCGATAAAAAAATCACCCTGTATATATATCTATGATAGTATCACGGTTTTTGTTGATGTATAACGCGTTATAAGTACCTAATAGACATTGTGATATGATTAATTTGGAATTTATTATAGGTACCTATTGTAGTTCAATTTTTTGTTTAATACCATAGATATGTATATAATATGTCTTATACATAGACTGACATACCGTCTCCGCTCAGAATCGTTTTTCTTATACAATGATATTATATCGTTGAATTCAAATTTAATATCATCCATTATACAGTGACCCACTTGTAACCTACTGTACAGCAGAGCGACACCCACTTGCCCACCTTTTTACATTTTCAAACCATGTTTGATGTTTGCTCTTAATAAAACGTATTTTACATTTTTTAATTTTCAAAACTATGTGAATTTCAAATAACATGTTTTCCGTTCATTCAATTTTTCAACTATATTTTTTCTTAACAATATATTTTCAATGTATTCATTTTCCAAACAAAGACAGTACATTTTTCTATAAAATATAATTCCAAATAATAAAAATCATTTCTATGTAATTTTCAATTTTGTCTGTCCAGATAACAACGTTTCTAAAAAAAAATGTTCATGGAAAAGGTGGCCCTCCTACATTTATATTATTACATTATTATGTTATTATAATTAATAAGATATAAAATATGTTTGGTCAAGTAGAAATAAAAACCTTGAGTGGTTGGAGAGGGGAGATGGGTGTTGCACGTTCCCCCACTCCTTTTACCATGCTTTGCCAAACTATAATATATTATCCACTATAAAAAAGACGAGGTACGTCAAATTCAATATTTTACATGATATATTAAGATAGGCATGAAATTTAATACATAAACGTATTTGAGTATTTCTATTTTATTCCTCAGCTCAACGTTTCGACTTGAGCGTGGGCATATTATAGAATATACATAATAATATGTCGGTGCGGCCTTGCAACCATCAATTTGAGTAAGATTTAACTGCGTAAATTATAGTATTCCGTATTCCCACCACGAGTGAAGTTGTTCTTCAAATCAAAACAAACACAATCGGTCGAACGATTTCACAAACCTACACTTATAATATTGGCGGTTACCTACCACTCGAGAACGGTAAACTCGAATTCATGATAATATATTTACCGACGACTCGAGCATCATTCATCGCAGTTTATCTCGCAGTATCGGCCGCTACAAGCTAGTGAAATCAATTGAACTATATTGTGATATAATAATTGTCATACGTATGCATATCAAAAAGATACATAACATTTAAATTTTAAATTGAATATAATAATATATCACCATGATTTCGTGTTTTTTCGATTTCCTGTTCGGCACACCCGCAATCGGCGCAGTCGCCGTTCTCGCGGCGATCGTTTACTATTACACGACCAACACGTACGACAAGTGGTTGAAGTTGAAAGTACCCCATGACCCACCGTGGCCGCTGGTGGGCAACACGGTGAAGATGATGACTTTGATTGAACATCAGTTGGCCACCATCGACGGGATTTACAAACGGTTTGCCGGCGAGAAATACTGCGGTTTCTATCAGATGAAGACGCCGTTCCTGATGGTCCGCGATCCGGAGCTGATCAACAATATACTGATCAAGGACTTCTCGAACTTCACGGACCGTGGTTTCCACAAGGACCCGGCCTTGAACATAATCGCCAACGGGTTGTTCTTCATGGAGGGTCCCAAATGGAAGGTGATGAGACAGAAACTGAGTCCGGGATTCACGTCCGGCAAGCTGAAGTTGGCCCACAACCAGATCGCGGAGTGCAGTGACGAACTGATGCGATTTATCACTGCCAAAATGAAAGAAACCGACCAGATCGAAGTCAAGGAGACCATGGGAAAGTACTCGACAGACGTCATCGGGACGTGCGCTTTTGGTTTGAAATTGGACACCGTCAAGAACGAAGATTCCGATTTCCGGTTGTACGGCCGGAAAATATTGAAGATGAGCTTCCGGTTCTTGTTGACCGAAATGGTTTCATCAAAAATATTGAAACTGTTGGGGGTCACCGAGTTCCCACCCGATGCTTCTGCGTTTTACGAAGCAGCTTTCAACGAGGTTATCAGGTACAGGGAGGAAAACGGAATAGTCCGACACGACGTGGCGCAGACCTTGATAGAAGCGAAAAAAGAATTGGTGTTGGACTCGACCGATGAAAGTAACGTGAATCATATATTACAAGAAAATCATAATAAAATAACTATATTTTAGATTCTGAGTGGAACGATGAATGTATTGATTTTACAATGATGTGCGTTTTTTTTGTGTCTCTCTACATAAGAAGTAGTCGAAATAATGCTCCGAGTTCAACTTCAGTATCTTGTTCTATTGGAAAGTGAATATCGTTGGTGCATTGGGGAGGTCAAAATTTAAAATTCCCAGTAATTTTCAAACGCGCAAAGAAAAACAAAAGAAAAATTAAGGAAAAACGGGAATTTTTACTCAAAATCTAATTTGGTTTTTGGTGTAACTTTAAAACAAATGACCGTAGATACATGACATTTTGTTTATATTTGCATTTTCTATACACGATAACATTTTCAAAATATTTTGATTTATTTTGAACTGTTTAGGGACATTTTCATTTTCCATTTTTTTTTTTAGTTTTTTTTCTAATAACATCAATAAAATTTTATTTGTTGGTTAAGAAAACTTGAAAATTTAATAGAAGGCTCCTAGTATATTGTTTCAAAGGCAAATGAAAAATATTAAAAATCCTTTGTCACAGTTTTTTTTTATAAGTATTTAAAGTTCAAAAATTGACAAAATATAAAAAAATCACGAAAATTAGCTAAATATTTTGATTTAAGAATTCGTAAGACCCTTTCTTTTTAAATCTAAATTTGAAAATGTAATACAAGATTACCCATAAGTTTGTCTACCTTTATCAATAAAAAATCTCTACCGGAAAGTCAAATTAAATTTTTATGAGCCTTTGAAATTCAAATTTTTACTACATTGGATTTTCACTCGATTTCTCATGTAGCGATTTCCTTATTTTGTTGTAATTCAAAAACGAATAACTGTAAATACATGAAAATTTCACTGAATGTTAATATTAGCATTTCATATACATCATACAATTTTGAAAATATTTTGACTTTTTGAGCTGTTTACGGACATTTACAGTTTTCAATTTTTTTAGTTTTTTTTCTATAAATATCAATACAGTTTTATCTGTTGGGCCAAAAAGTGTAAAAGTTTAATACAAGGCTCCTGATATATTGTTACAATAGCAGTTGAAAAATATTAAAAATACATGGCACAATTTGTTTTTATAAGCATTTAAAGATCGAATTTTGACAAAATGTATCAAATTTAAAATGGAATTATTATTTTGTATTTAAAAATTTATAATATGTTTAACATTTATATCTAAGGATTGAAAGTTTAAAACAAGATTCCACGTAAGTAGTTAATTCTGTTACCAAAAAGTCTAAAAAATACATAAGCACAGTTTATTTTTATAGTCATTTTAAAGTTCAAATTTGAACGAAATTACATAATAAAAAACCTAGAATAACTATTTTAGTTATTTTGTTGTTATATAATATTATTCGTGGGTACTTGAAACTTCTAAAGTACCTACACTGTTATATATCTATGAATCTATGATAGTATCAGGGTTTGTTGTTGATGTATAATGCGTTATAAGTACCTAATGGATATTGTGATATGATTAATTTGGAATGTATTATAGGTCAATTTTTTTGTAATACCATAGGTAAGTATATAATATTTCTTCTACCTAGACTGACATATCGTCTCCGCTCAGAATCGTTTTTCTTATAAAATGATATTATATCATTGAATTAAAATTTAATACCATCCATTATACAGTGACACACTTTTAACCTACTGTACAGCAGAGCACCTTTTTTTTTAGTTTAAAACGTCATTAAATCCGTTGAATAATATTCTGTACACAAAATATACGTTGGTCTGAAATATCCAAAAATAATTAATATTATTTATGTAGCTGTATCGTATATTATTTAGAGGACAATGTAATATGACGTGTCTCCAGTTTCCACTTATTTTAGTAGTCGTAGTTTTGATATAATTTTTTTTCAGATGGATTTACTGAGCAGCATATTATAGCAAATGCGATCCTGATGTTTTTGGCCGGTTTTGAACCCGTTTCTTCCACGTTGAGTTTCTGTTTGTATCACTTAGCACTGAACCAAGACATCCAGGACAAAATTCGTGACGAGATTAATTCAAAGTTGAAACAACACGGAAAACTAAACAACGATTTTTTGGTCGATCTCCATTACACCGATATGGTTTTGGCAGGTGAATATCAGTATATTATTTAATCAATATTTATATGCTCTACTAGATTATTTATAAATGGGACACTGATCCCCACAACTGGTATCTACAAGCCCGTACCCAGCAAAAAATGTCGGAGGGGGATGTCTGAACCCTAACCCTGGGCAGTTACGGCGTTCAGTATCTATGTATAATGATAATAATAATAATAATAATATTGTTTATTACGGAAAACATTCCAATTACATTTTATATATAAGATAGTTACTTGAGCATTAAGGGGAAAAGGAGAGAGAGAGAGAGAAAATACATGTTTATATAAATCAAGTTGAGTGTATACTTACTTACTTTGTTTATACTTACTAGTATTATACTACTATGGGTACGTCCTTAGAACGGTGCATAAATTCTTGTGTAATATACTGTAATGTATCAATGTGTATTTAGTACGTGAAAACAAAATATATAATATAGTATAATTTATAACAAGTATTTATGCAATTTTTTTTTGTGCCTTAGAAACAGAACGCATGTACGTAGTGACTAACGCGTTGTTTAGGGAAGCGGCGAAGACGTATCACGTACCCGGCGACACGTTGGTGATCGAAAAGGGAACCAAGATCATGATTCCTATTTATAGTATTCATCACGACCCCAAGTATTACCCCGAACCGTACACCTTTGACCCGCAAAGGTTTTCACCGGAAGAAAAGGCAAAAAGGCAATCCAGTACTTACTTACCGTTTGGCGACGGTCCACGGTTTTGCATAGGTATCCTGTTTTTATATTATAGTATTATACTAACCAATTTATGACAGAAAGAAGTGTTAAATTATTTGAAAAAATCCATGTATATTTCTATGTAGGTATTACATTTACGAGTATTTACATTAAAATATTTAAACAGGAAAACGATTCGCCGAACTGGAAATGAAAATGGTACTGTCACAAATTATTACGACGTTTCAAATTTTACCATGTGAAAAAACAGAAGTACCGCTCAAACTACAAAACGGATTACCCATGATGGTTGCAAAAAACGGGATTTGGTTACGTTTTCAATCCATTTCTGAATAAGTGGCACTTCTGATTCGATAATTATATGTATTGTGGTTCGGGAAAGCAATTGACCAGGGTACTACTTTTTAGAGTTGCCGAAAAATTGTAAAAAAATTAAATAAATAATAATGAATTTGTTGTAATTACTTATAATTGTTAAGTAATATAGGTGTTACTTAAGTACTTTTATATTTTGTGTAACTAATTTACGAAACATGTTCGATCATTATGAATTATGATTAACAAGTAAAAGATTCTTTTGGTGGTAAAGTGCTAAATTGTATGAACAGGAATATGTAATAACCAGGGCTCGTAAGTTCATGCATCTGCATGTTTTTTTTGCTACATAGGAAAACATGCTAACTGAGATACAAATCCGTTTCATAAAAATAGTAATAATAATATGAAGTTTGATAGTGCATGTTTTTGCATGTTTTGGGTGTAAAGTCATATTTGGCATATAGTTGATTTTTTACAGTCGTTAGTGCATATTATTTCATAAAAATATTTTTTAGACAAATATTTGAAAAGTTTTTTCCGATTTTTGATATCTTGTTCCAATCGTCCAATATCGCATGGTAAATTATAACGGTTTTTTAAATTTTTTATTGATTAATTATTTAGCTAATTAATAAAAATATCGAAAATCGGGCTTCTTACAATTGTAAAAAAAGTTCTACTCTACAATTTTTATAATAGGTATTTTTACTGTAAGCCACTTCAATAAGCCGTATTACTTGAATTACGAAACCATGGATTTATGCCATATTTTGTCTACTGGTGCGCCCTCTTAAGTTGGAAAACATAAAAAATACACTTATAAAATATATATAACTAAATTATCTCAAAATGAAAAATCTAATATTTAATTCCAAATGTTTTCATTATTTTTGCTGAATAAGGGTGTACACAAATTAGACAAAAATGACTACCTAATTAAAATTTATAAAGATGACAAAGCTATTTGAACTTCACAAGTATTAATTTTATTTTTTATTTTATTAATTTTGACTGTTAAATTTATAAAAATAAAAAGGAATAAAATACTTTTAAAAAATATGGATTTATTCTAACTTTAAAATTTGGTCATGTTTTTTTTACATAATGCATATTTTGAGTTTATAATTTAAAAATGTGAAGGCATATTGATATAAATGCATATTTTCGAACTTTTAAGTGCATATTTTAATGCATATTTTGACAACTTTTAGTGCATGAATGCATGCTTATTTATGCATTTTTTAGTGCATGAAGTTACGAGCCCTGGTAATAACTAATAATAGTATCTGCCGTCTGGTATGACATTATATAATATTATATTCGATAAACTATACACTTTGCAAGGCCGTATATGAGGGGGGATTTTGGGGGTTTGAAATTCATATTTATAATATATTATATGTATTTCCATGTTCATTAAATTTTTATAAAATTTTTTTTTAAGTTTATAACCTACATTTTTTATTTTATTTTATGAGAAAATACTATACACAAAATATGATGTTCATAGTTATTATAATTTTATGTATTTTATGTATTACATTATATTATTTTATTTAATCATAAAAACAAAATTTTTAAACTCACGCGAATGGAACACAATGTGCGATCCATTTCGAAGTTAATTAAATAATAAAATATATTAAATATAACATTAAAACATTTGGAAGCACTCGTTTTATCTTAGCATATCAATATAAATTATCATAAATATTATTAAATAAGTATAAATTATATAATAATTAATATTATAATAAAACGTTAAATAATAACAGCTAGTAACATAAAATAGTACGATATAATATCTACTTTGTAATTAATAAATTATACATACAATTCAATATTCGTAATAATTGTGTAAAATATTTTGGAAGACTTGTGTACGTTAATTTTTAAAAAGCTTTATGTTAAAATTGGAAGACATATTTTTCGATAATATCACAATATTATAAATAAATGCTCACACTACACACGTATAATAGTTGTACAACTAAACGTGGAACCTATTTAGTTTCGGCCAACACCTGGCGAAGTCTGTCGTTGAACATGTGAGCGTGATGTGGTTGAAAGATCAACGCCGGTCGCATTCTGATACCCACTACTCCACATCCTCCGGATTGGACTCCTGAAAACATGAAAACATCATAATAATTACAGTCGGATCAGTCAGTACAATATACAGTAAGTCAGTAAATGGTACAATTTAATATCTATACACATTATGGATAATACAATCAAATGGAAAGAGAGTTACAAGTTTGTGCAGATGTATTAAATATTAATTTATGAAATTTATAACACATGCATCTTAAATACTGAAAATATAGTGTTATTTTTTAATTTTTTTCCAGAGATCGAAGGATTGCGGGCTCCCAGGGTCAAGCTACTATTATAGGGATATTAATAATTTTATGACTGAAGCCTGTAAGGCCGTATTAAAACATTTTGCACCCCAAGTCAATATATTTTGCTCACCTCCAAAAAAAATAAAGTTCTCTTAATATGTAAGATATAACTACTATTTTGTGGCATAAATGCATCTTAGCTCCCAAGCGATTTTTTTCTTCGGAAATCCATGTACTTAAATGGTGAAATTAGAGTTTTTCGGTCAGAATTAGTTTCAAAGTTACATAATATGTAACCTTTTGAAGTCCGTGAGTTTGCGTATTCTCTACTATCGGGGTTATTATTTTTTTTTTATTAAATTACTTTGTTAACAATATAATAAAAAGTAAGTATGACAGGTAATTTCTGATCGAACCAACATGTTAAGGATCAAAAAACTCACATTTACCAAAACAAAAAATTCAAAAATTGTTTATTTTTGGTATAAACAAAACTTAAAAACTTAAAAACAAGATTTTGAAGTTTTTGACCTTAACTTCCAAAGAAATTTTGATCAACTTTTTTTTTAAGTATATAAATGGTATAAATACCATCTTATTGAGTATGCAAAAACACACATTTGAAGAAAAAAATTTACCAAAATCGTTTGGGGGCTAAACAGCATATTCGTTTCTATATTATTAATTATTTTCTATGGAAAAATCGAGTAGTTATGGTATATACTTACTATATTTTATAAACTGAAAAATAATATATTATTGATTATTATTGCATTTATTCTGATCTTAGTTTTAATACTTATAATAATCCAGAGGCATTTATAACTTTATCCTAAATGGAGATTTGAAAATAAAGTGATAATTTCTTCGAAACCTGCTTTATCTAATTGATATTTCTGATTAAACAATAATACTAATGCAAATATTACATTGAATATTAAATAAAGAATTGAACGACGTTTGAATGATAGAGTTGGCTTTTTTTACGGGCAACGAAATGTACAGGGTCAGCTGCTAGTACAGTACATTAAAATTGGTACATACCTACTTAGTTTTATTCATCAAAAATCACCAATAAATAAATGTTTAGATTTCCATTAAATATACAGTGATTTCACACTAACCATTACAGATGTATAGCCTTATTATTTGTCTTATTAATTATTATTGTATTTAAATTAAAGTTATACTAATAAACATGTCTGGTAAATGTTGGTGTAAGATTTAATTTACAATGTAATAATATCTAAATGTAATAATAATCATCTACTGACGCAATTAAAATTAAATTCAATCAGTTTAAAATTAAAATAACCTACTTGAAAAGGTATTAATTAATTGCAGAAAATAATAAATGATTGAGTGATGGTTATTTTAATACCACTTTAATGTTCATGTCTGAAGTCTGATTATCGAATGGAAATTAAGGAAACAAACACCTTTTGAATGTATTTATCTAAATATCTGTATAATGAAAATAAAAATAAAGATAACGTGTAAAAATGAAAAAGACAATTTATAATAATAAATAATTAATATTTCGTGATAATACTTATTGTTTTGAAATTAAGTTAAAATAGTTTTTGTATAAGAAAATATGTACCTACGATACAATGAATCTTAAATGATTATAGTGTTATCAAATTCAGACATTGTATAAATATATTATAGTATCATAATATAGAAGAGAATTATGATCTTCGACCATATTATAAACTTCGTTTATGTAGGTACGATGAACATAGTCCAAGATTATAATGCCCGTGTTCTTGCTGTTAAGTATTTAGTGTTTACCAACGTAGAATAAGTTTCGTATGACTTATTAAGATAATTATTATATTTGTAATGTGTACAAATAAAGTAAAAAGATTCGGTATTTGAATACCTATATTTTCTATATTATATGTATGTGTTTAATATCACCTAGTGTAATTTTAGGATAGGTACGAAAAATTATTGAAATATTTGAATACGAAAAATAAAACACGCACATTAAAGACGATAGGAGACACACACAAAATACACACTAGTAAAATGTGAACAAAATTATTAAAATACTTTGGTACCTTTGGTTAAAAGTCTTTTGACGATGTCGTCTCGGAGTTTTGCGTCAGCAGCATCGAACGTTATGAATGTACCACGGCCTCTGGTGGAGTTGATTAGTGCTGGGAACTCTGCTTCCAAGTCTCTGAGTCCGGACATGAGTACATCGCCGGACTTTTCGACCACCGACAACAGGTTTTCTCTCTTGATCACCTTCAATACAGCATCGAGCAATACGATTTTGGTCGGATCTCCCATCCAAGTGTTGAATACACGGTACGGCAAGTCGGGTCTTCAAAAATTAAGTAACAAAAACAGATTATAACCTATATAGGTAACAATTTCCTACAGCGATAATGGTTTTTATTATATTATAGGTATATATATTTTATATTATTACAAGAAGTCGCTCTTTAAGTAGTATCCACCGGTCTGCATTTTCTTGCTAAAAGTAACTATGTCGGGCGAAGTTTCCAGATCGAAATGCTCGTGACACCACATTTTACCGGTGGGGCCGCCGCCTGTCTGCACCTCGTCGATTAGATATCCCGCGTTGTACTATATGACAACGAATATAATACCAATTACGATTTACCTATATATATTTTTTTGTCCAGTCTTTTGATAGCTGCGTGCAATCAACCCACCTTTTTGGCAATCTTCTGAAGTTTCTGGAAGAAATACGGCGAAGCGTGGTTGTCTCCCCCTTCCGACTGGATGGGCTCCACGACGATTCCTGCCACGGGGTTGCCCTTCTTTTCCCACTTCTCTATCAGTTCCTCCACCTAAGGGAACAAAGCCGACCGAATTTTAAAATATATACCTACTTCACAAGAATCTATTTATTATAATAGATAACTTTTAGTTTTTTAACATGTATAAATTTATAATAATATTCCTACCTATAATTTAATATACTATATAGGGTGATTCCAGAGGAATATGGCCTTCATTGGCCCCATAAATACCTATCTAAACATCTAATATATATATATATATATATATTCTGTAGCTGAGACCCCCACTTAAATGTGTTTACGCCACTGAATGATTCACCAAGCACTGGACATTTTCACTAAATGTTTATATTAGCATTTTCTGTAGGTACACCATACATTTTTCAAAGTATGTTGACTTGTTTTGAAAAGTTTGCTGACGTTTTAAATTTTAAATTTTTTTAGTTTTTTTAAATACATGTCAATAAAATTTCATTCGTTGGGTCAAAAATCTTGAAAATGTAATACATGACTCTTATTAAATTGTTACAATGGTAGGTAGTTGAAAAATATTAAAAATACAAAGCCACAATCTTTTTATAATCCTTTAAAGTTCAAATGTTGACAATATACGTCAATATAATATCACAAAAATGTGCACATTATTTTAAAATAGAAATTCATAAAAAATGTCTTTCTTAAATCTAATATTTGAAAATTTGATACAAGATTCCTTATAAGTTGGTCTACCTTTATCAAAATAATATTAATTAGGTAGGTACTAAAAATATGTTCGAGTCATCTATATGCATATTATATAATATATGGCCCCATAATATAGTGAGGAATACAGGATACTCCTCAAGTAGTATAAAAAAATTAAATAATATTATAATATAGTCCAAGTATATTTAAAAATTCCAAAAATTAGATTTTTAATAACTGCATTATTTAATTATTGCACTCACTTCAGCCAAGCAACGTTCGTCTTCTTGTTCATTTTCCCTGAGGTTCTCGTGCAAAGGATACTTGTACTCGGGGAATCTGGCCATTGGCCAGTCAAACGCGGGCACGTCCAACTTGTGCACGTACTTGGAATGCGTGGTAGATAAGACACCCAATGTGCGGCCGTGGAACGAACCCTTGAACGACAGTATAGATAGCTTGGGCGCGCCTGGTGGCATGTTAATCATGCACGACTCTTTCTCCAAGTCTGTGAAGTCCGAAGTGCCTCCCCTTTTGTCCCGCTGGTACTTCATGAACATGTTCTTGTACGCGTTCTCGTTGGAACAAGACCCACACATCATGGTTGTTAGAGAGTCCATGCCTTTTGGTGCGACCTATATATTATATTAATTATATATATGATATAATGCACGAATGTCGTATTTACCATCAAATATCATTGAAGTCAATAAAATAATTTGATAGACGTAAACATAATACTATATAATGATATACCTGATAGATATATAAATATATAATAGAATATAATATTAATACAATATGGTACCTAAAGGTACAGATCTAATATTTTAGACTTTAGTATCTGATATTTTAAGCCTAATTGACTGTGATTTTATGATTTAGTGAGTTCAAAACGGCACTGTCTAATGTGCCTCAAATGTTTATATGTATATGTTACGGGCAAAGTAGAACATTGCCCGGTCTATGTATACTTTGCTCACTGATTTTGGGCAGTACATTAAAATACTATTTTAGCCAGACAGGGTTATACTTTGACCGGTCCAAGTACACTTTGCCCGTTGTATATTATTATACATAAATGTCTTATACTTATTTCAAATTTCAATGTAATAATTATTATTTTCTCTATTGAGTTAACAATTTACTAGCTGTATAAATATTCTTAAATGGGGACGGAGTGGCCGAGCGAAGTGCCGACGCCAGTTCGATACCTCGGCCATGGGTGGCATTTTTCTTCGGGCTAGTCAAGGTGTCCGGAGAACAAGTGCCACCATCCCCCATACGGACATGGCAGACTGGTGCCCAAATCAAAAATTCTTCAAACACACACGTGTCCCCCCCCCTACCAACAAAAAAACCTACAAATAGAACAAAAAAATAGCTAATGGCCTAAACTTCAAGATCAAAAAATAAAAATAAAAATATTCTCAAAATGTTATTTTTTGGCCAAATCTTTTTAATTTATATTATGGGTGCCCTGACACGGCCACATTATAGCACTACTATCTATATAAAAAAAACTTACACTCATCAGCGTGCCTCGTAGTTTCACTGGCCAATCGGCAGCTGGGAACACACCCAACGCCGGACGATTGACAACGGCTCTCTGGTACGATAAAAAAAACAACATTAAAACGTGTATAATAAGCAAATCGAAATTTTCCATCATAGTTTGAATTTTTTTTAACAATACTTACAATAGATCGAATTTAGGTACTTATCTAAGTACTATTTATTCACTAGGTACTCGATATCTATCCATTGACATTTTTAAGAAAGTATCTAAATCTCTATCAGTATATTGTGAATGATGCATTGGTATTTATTGGTTCCGAGCCATAATTATTATACTATATTCGTCTTAAATCTAATTCGAATGTTAAAGTCCCCAAAAATGAGAACCATTTTCGGACAACATAACACCAAATACACATTTATAAAATTTTGCTTAAGGCCAACTATAATTTAAGTAAATTCAATAATTTTAAATTGTATAAAAAATGTATTATTAACCAAACTGCAGAAGTCTGAATTTTGTTAAACTATCATTTAGCACAATATTAGCTTTTCATTAATCTTTAGACAATGCTTTAGTTTCTATATTTTTAGTCAAGATTTGTGTTTAGTCTCTATAAAAAAAGTAATGTCCTATAGTTTAGAATCTCTCTCCTCTAGCTCAGCCATTGGCTTTCGAGGTGATTCGTTTATTAATTATTACCAATACCACCAAAAGCATATATGTAAAATGAGAGCCAAGTTCAATACTATAATATATGCCTTGGTTGTTGACTTCAACGACAAAAGAAGTGAGATCTAAATGGGTGTCAAGTTAGGATAATATATTGAAGCCTACGGTGTGACTTGGCTACTTTTCATATACGAATTATTATTATAAGTACCTACTAAAACAGTAATGGAAGAGTGAAGATGATTTTCGGAAGAATAAAATAAGAACTCAAAGCTTTAGAACTTGCAAATGCTATAATATATAATTCGTAGCCAAGTCAGACCTTAGGCTTCAGTATATTATCCTAACTTGGCACCCATTTAGATCTCAATTCTTTTGTCGTTGAAGTCAACAACCAAGGCATATATTATAGTATTGAACTTGGCTCTCATTAGTCTCATTTTACATATATGTTTTTGGTGGGATATCATTACTTTTTGTATGTAAATTATTATAACCTAACCTAGCCATGACGTATTCTATAAATAAAGTTTATTACTAAATAATATAATTCAGTTACTAATATTAATAATAATATTTATTATAAAATATTTTCCGTTGTATATACAGAGTATAAAATATATGTAAAATTAATATACAATTATTTTTACTCTTTTTGAGTATATTTTTAATTATCATAATTGTATTGACTGTAGTTTCTACTGTTGGGTGGATAATTCATAATTTGTAAGAATAATTATTTAATTATTTTAATTGTAATATTTAAAAAAAATAATATTAATTACATACATAGATAGAAAAAAAAGTATGTTGCTGCGCGCGGGTCGACAATATCGACACATATTCGGCTAGTCGTATTTTTGGAGCGGCGATACGGGAAAGGTAATTTAAGTCAACATTACATTACATTACATTAAATTAGAGGCAATTCATTAATAAATTGAAAAACTAAACATAATAGATAAAATAATTGCAAAATTATAATAATATCAATTGATTAAAAAATTAAAAATTAAAAAATTAAAAATTAAAAATTTTCAAGTTTCTGATTTTTTCCTTTGTATTTACCTAACTACCTATCTGTATGCCAAATTTGAACTTTCTAGGTCATCTGGAACTGGGTTAGAATTTTGATCTATAGGTAAGTCAGTGATAAAAATGACGATTTTCGGACGTTAATATCTAAATAACGGTTTGAAGTGTGTTTATGAAATTTATAGCACATATGTATCTCGTTAGTCTCAATATATGAGCCAAATTTGACATGTTTATGTGGAATAGTTTTTGAGTTATGAGGGGGTAAAAAGTGGCTCCAAATGGTTCGTGTAATATTACACACGGTGCTGCTCGCCAGTTCTGTTAGCTAGAACTTGGCTTGACACGCTACCGCGTGTCTAGATCCTTATGTATATTATAATGTATCTAAATTATAATTGATGGAAAAAAATTATATTATTATATTATTAATTGCTAAATGAAGGTGGTGGAGCACAATTTATTGGTAATTTTAGTTCCCCTGAAAGCCCTTCAGTAATCAAGACGAATCGGTAATCAATAGGGACACAGTTTAAATAATATAATGTACATACTTTGTTCTCATCACTATCCAATACTTTCAACATGTCCGGGTGGTTGTAACCCAACGGCATTGACGAAATTTGAGTGTACACGTCCAACAGAACATTACCGTCGACGTCAACCAAGTAGTTTCCCAGTGATTTGTTATAGTCCGCGAATAACTGAACCGAACCGGATTGCTGAAAACACATAAATTTCTTCAGTTTATAAACCTTATAAACAATAGTTCAACACAATTCTGTGAAATTGCAGTACATCATGAAGTACGAAATTTTTATTCACATGTTGTACTTGTATTAATCCCGAAAGATCTATATGTTCTATATGAAACGATCTATCATATTTTCCATACGCTTAAAATATAAAATGTAACTAAAAATAACAATTTTATAACCAGTAATCTATTTATTTGCCAAATGGTTAAATTATTAAACCAATATATTTTAACAATATTTATTTATACATCCGGCTAGACAATTTATTTGTTTATATTTAAAAAATTATAAAACTACGCACGTTTAGACTAGATTACGATATTACTATAACAAGTAAAATGATATCATCGTTTTAAATAATAGAAAAGTATAATATCCCCTACATATTTGTTGGACCCTCGTTGTTGGGTATTTAATTAATCTACTTTATTTATTGAATTAAACAACACTACTTCCTGTCATAAAATGAATATGAATCAGAATAACATTATCTCCGCATTATATAATATCAGGAGATGTCATAATAATATAAGGCAAATATTATATGTTAACACTCAAATGGTATATCCGGTTATTGTCTCCTAATAATATTGTCTCACCTGAATTTGTGAAAGATCGGCAAGTAGTTTTTTTGACTTTGGTCCTGGTACCGACGTTTCGACCGACGGTGCAGCATATTCTCCGGGACAAATTGATGATGCCATTCTCACTGAAACATACAAATATTCAAATACCATACATAATTTTAGAGAAATCCAAATTATTACATTATACCTTGGCATGTATACCTAGGTAGTATTATTATTACGTGATATGCCTTCATTTTCTAATAATTTAAAAACTGTTAACAATAATTATTATTATTCAAAACGAACGTTTTTCATTATAAGTAATAATTAATACTAGAAAATGCAATTAAAACAAAATGTTTAGTATCTCTATGAGATAGACTACGAAAGGGTTTTATAAATATTTTAGTTCATGATGTAATAATTTGATATTTTTATTATGTTCTATATTTAATGCAGTTTGTGACAATATAACTTAAATACATACATTTTATCACAGGGTATTTATATTGGTAAGCTATGTTGTATCTCAATCCCTCGTTATTTTGTTTCAGAAAAGTTTTTGATATTTTACGTATATAACTATCAAAATTTGAATATAATATTGTAAACATTTTTTGCATAGGTATCAGGTATGTATAATAGCCATGTAGATGTAGGTAATGTTCATTATAGTATTATTGAATAATATAATGGCTAATGAGAAACGTTAATAAATTTCACTTCAATATTTTAATGACGACGATACTTTCTTTGAAATAATTGGTTAAAATATGTATGTTCTTATAGTGAGTATAGGTTGGTCGGATTTATATCTTACTGTTAGTTGATTAAGTGTTATAATTTGACTCAAGTCACAAAAATATTGTGCATGCCACTGTATAGGTTCCTAGTAAAATTATAGTAGACAATATTATATACATTAACAATTAAATATTTAATTCCCAAGGTTTAACGTAATTAAGAGCTTTAACGGTATATAAATAAAGAATAAACAATATTCCGATCTAATATACTTTAAAAACACTTGACACAGTTTCAAAAACTTCTGTACAAATCGTGTGTCTTGTAAATTATAACATCGTTTAAAACAATTAGAAATAACGTTTATTCTATAATTTAATACCTTAATAATAAGGTACCTATAAAAGAAAACCGAGACCAGGTTTTGGGAACTAACTATATAGGTAAGTGCCTATATAATAATTTTACTGTACCTACCTATATCCTATTTGCTTATTGCTCATACCCGGTGCAAAGTAAACTTATAAATTATAAGTAATAATAGGCAGACTTCCCTTTAACGGTTCTAATTTATATGAGTCAATTGGATTTTTTTATTTTTAAATCCCTTTAAATCCTTTAAAGACATTGGTACCTATAGATGTTGACATTGCTAATGCGAAGCTTCATTGTTCAGTATCAACCATAAAATTGAATGAATTAATAGTTTATAATATAATGTGCTTATATAATATATAGGTTAGGTATAGGACATAATAGGTATCTAAAGAATAAATCAAAATTGATTGTAATTATTAAAGAAAATAACAATAGAAAATTATATCCGAATTTAGTAGTGCCAAAGTTGGTAGTTCATGATGTTTATTAACACTGAAAATAGTAATATATAGGTACCTAAGTACATCATGTTTTTGAATAAACTAATTATTAGTCAACAAACAATACACTTATCGATAAAATATACATACCTATAATTGTCTATTATACTTATACATATGTAGATTTTAATGTTTTATTTCAGTCAATAATCTGATACTCTTGAAACAAGTGTTTTGAAAAAATCATACATCCTCGTATATCATTACAGATTATTAGTTAATCATATATGTGTACAAAGAAAAAAAGTAATATTAGCATCAAGTAGGTGCATAATATACCTAGTTAGGTGTATATTTTTACATGAATATATCATAGTAATCAAGTTAATTAGACACTTGTAGACATGAAACCCCGGAACCCAACCATCAGCTTATGTTAATATTTTTTGACCCTAGTTGGCTTAAATTAATATTTATTATAATAATACACAAACTGAACTAGAAATTAAAATATACCAATAGATTAGTTTTGAATTAAAAAAAAAAAATACAATCGTATAGCTAAAAACGACTGCAACAAGTTTAAAATGCATACAGATATACAGTTTATAGCACTATAGCCAGTAGGTATAGTTATATAATCGATGAGTCTCGATAGCTCGAAATTCAAGGAGAATAAAATTTAACTCGACTTATGTAGTTTTTGAGTTATTCCTATACCTCAAACACAACTTAAAAACACTTCAAGGGGTAAGAAAATAATTTGACTTATCAAGGTTTTTGAGTTATCGAAGATTTCGAATTATCGAGGCTGTAAAATTATAATATGCATATGCTGACTAGTCACTGTGTCTACTCATATCACCCAGCTAGAGGAACATAGACGCTTGATCAAAATAATAATAATTGATATACTTTTTTGGACCAAAAAATATATTTATATTTTATGGTAGCTACTGTGATACATTTGTGTGCAAATTATTTTAGAAAATAGAAAAAAAAATTTCGCAGGGACCTATATAACATTATATCTGTTGAATACTATTTACTAATTTTGTTGAATTTATGAAATTATTATATAATTAAATTGTACCCGACTATCCACGGACATTACTTAAATATTGATTTTGGAAAAATAATTTAGAAATAACTCAATCTATTGTCGAAATTCGTTAGTCAAAGAGTTTTCATGAAATGGATACAATAAAAGTATGAAAACATATAATATTACATAATAGGTAGGTATATATTATGCTGCTGTGCGTACCAAAATTAATCTGTTGATTATATGATCTGATTGGACATTTAATATATTGTAAGATTCTCATTATCTAGGTACATCAATATCAGTAATTACTAATTATGTACATTTATTATTATTGGTCTATGTAGATATACCTATTTATTTTTTTAATCGACTGACATACTATCCACTGACCGATTATGATAAATATTAATCAAAATGTCAGAAGTCATCATGCGAGGTTTCTTATTTTAGCCACACTAACTTCATTCTATTAATGCTATACATAATGTTACAATATACTAGGTAAGTACCTAATATATAAGTATATAGGTAGGTAAGTATCTACACAACATTATTATATCGGCTGTAATACGATTGAGAACGTTCGACCTTTTTTAGCGTACGATTGAGATCACTCGAAATGGAACAATGAAATAACCGCTGACCCAATAATACAGTACTATTGAGAACGAAATTAAGTGCAACGTTGCCGAACTTTATTCGAGTCAAAATAAAAATGAAATAAAACATTGAATAAAATAATTAAAAATTATAAATTTTAAAAATGTCATAATTTTTAAAAAAATCTGTATTATTGGTACCTACCAATAATACAAACATTTAAAAATAATTTATATATATTAATATATATAAATTTCCCAGATGTGTTAAATATTTTATTAATCCTTCAGAAGATTTTTTTTGGCAGTAGTTAATATAAGACTGTATTGTTTTTGAAATTTTTTCTTCATCTGCTTTTGATGCCTTTTGAACAGTACCCTGTTGAATAATATTGAGTTTTAAAGACGTTTATTCCTGCCACATAGACAGTGTGTGAGCAGTGCTAAGAGTCATATATATTTATATAGGCTATAGCCATAGTAGATTTTTATATGGCAAAGTTTGGCAACGTTGCGCGGAAAAATAAAAACTGAGCGTTCTCAATCGTAATAGTCAAAAGGGTCTAAAAAAGGTATCGCCAATAATGACCGTTCTCAATCGTATTCCTGCCATTATATCACCAACTGTTGTTGGTTTTTTTTTTATTACGTTTAATACGTGTTGGTGTCTAAAGTTTTTCACTTAATATACGTACGATACGTACGATTAATACAGTGAGCATAAATGCATACCTAATGCATAGGAAATTAGGAACCCAAACGTAACCTAATTTAGGTTTAGGTGCATCCACAAGACGTATCGAAACTCGAATCCGACTACAGTGCATATAATAAAATTGCATATAATAAAATGATATGCATATAAGTAATTATATTATAATGACAATAGTAAACACAGTTCATTCGAGGCATATGTTCTACGCATATTATAATATTGTATAGAAGCAAAACGAAGTTTAAGTAATTTTTTTCCTAGTTAACTATAAACATATTATTATGCATTTATATACCTACACACGCATTCAATTTTATCGGTCACGAAGAGGGTTCTCTACCAACTTAAGTAATTGCAACATTCCAAACGCTTAGGTATTATAAGATACGGTATTTTTGGTTACCATTTAATATAGTCTATCTACCTATATGTTCTATTTAACTGCAGTTGAAGTAGTGTATCAAATATTTTCAATTGCAATATTGAATATTTTACCAACTCATAATTCACTTTAGGTAACCAATGAAATGTCGTAAAAAAACGACGCACCTGCACAGATAAATAGATGGGTAATGTTCTTATAGGTACATTTAGTTATGATACCTAATAATATATGTCAACCCACTCTAATACTACGGCTAACTACACAAAATTGGTTCTGTTTTAAATTTTAAACGTTGTACAGGTACCTACGTTTGTACCTATAGGGTATACGACGGAGGCAACTGCACATAATATGATATCGTCCTCATGTAAATTTATTTAATATAATTATTATTATTATTATTAGTATGGGAACCTCGGGTATGACAATAAACGAAGTTGGACATTTATTACCGCGGTTATACTACTCAATAACCATAATATTATAAATATAGGTATCGACTATCTAATTATCCAACTATTGGCATACATCTTTGATTCTATATACCTTCATACGATATTAATTATTTGTTGTAACGATCACTCAAATCGTGTATGCAAATATTTTCAAACACGCTAATTTTTAGAGAAAATTGCCATATCTACAGTTAATTTAAAGAGAATCGCCAGGTTGCAGTACCTACACATAGTATTATCATTATTATTATTATTAATAGTAACGTCGAGTCGTGCAACTTACTTGGTGCGCCGACAAAATGTTTGGCCGCCGTCGCCGCTGGGCGGGCTACGTCTTGGAATCTGTACATAGCTACGGAACGAACTTTTCGATAGTATATTATTGTATAATAATATTAAAATGACACGTCCGTGTGTCACCCACTGGTTTGACGTGCCGTTATAAGACGGGCGACGGCGAATGAGGCGTAAACTTTCGTATATATTATGTATATATGACTTGGACGTGTGCGAAGTATTATTCTGTTGTCGTCGATTCGCGATGGGGTTTTTGTTTACCGCTTAAATCGTCGGGTGTGTGTGTGTGTGTGCGTGAAATAAACCCCACCGGAGTCACTGTGCACAAAGATGGTATAACGTCGGTATAGGCAGGGACCGTCCGGTCTAATGGTGGAGTTACAGCAGGTGTTGATGGACCGTCGTCCTGAGTGTGACTGTGCCGTCCGGGTGAAAAGTTCTACAGCGTGCGCGCCGACTGGTGCGAGCGCGGCGGAGACGGCGACGACGAGCGCGACGTCGCCCGATCAATATAGACAATAAAGCATAATATAATGGTAGGTATATAAGTGTATAACATACGCGGTTGGTGGTATTCCAAATTTTGATACCGGTATCTTTGGTATTACTGGTCATACGGTATTTACGGTAATATTATCGAAAACACCATACCTACCTTGGTAATCGGTATTCTTCATGAATTTAGAAGTGTTCCAACACAGGCAAATTTTAACCTATTTTAAAAATTATGTTTGTAATTATTATGATTACATAAATTTTAATTTATAAATGCATAATATTATATTTCCGCTAATTGTCGTGGCACGGTATTTACGGTAAAAGCAGTAGGTATAATTACCGAATCACGGTAATCTAATATACCGAAAATACCGGATATCGGTATTTTTTAAATGCCGGTAGCCGGTAGCGTTAGTACCTATAACATACAATCATTATACGTAAATTATTATTTTAAAAGATTTTGTTAATCTATAGTTGGTCAATTTCGTTTTTATGTATATTTTATGTATTATTATTATTTATTTATATAATATCTACAACCTACACCCAGTGTTGGGAAGGAACGCGTTCTTTTTAAAATATTGGAACGAGGAAAGGGAAAGAGTTTCTATTTTTAAGGAACTTGAACGAAAATTTCCGTTCTTCAAATTATGAAAAAAAAATGAATGTATGAAACGCATGTTGTTTTTAATAATATTATTTTCTAGAATATTATAGAATCTGGGTTCAATTAACTACCTATCAGAAAAGGTAATGAATATAAAAATTAGCTGATTATTTCTGGTTTAAAAGTTGTCCGTAAAAAACACCATTGACAACCGCTCAGATCGTAAAAAAAAATGTAAAAAAACAGGAATACAGTCTTTTTTTGCAACAGGAACGAGGAACGGGAACAAGTTCCTTTTTTACAACAGGGACGAGGAACGGGAACGTATTAATTTTTAAAAGGAACTTTCCCAACACTGCCTACAAGGCTACACATGATAAGTCATAACATTAAAGACATTTCATCACAGGCGCCAAATGACAATACCTTGGCTCTAAAATGTCTAATCATTTTTTAAATTCTAACTATAAGTTTTTAAAATGTTGTAAAGGTTATACTTAATACCTACTAAATAGCTACTAAATATTATATAGCATTATATAGACCACGTTTTAAAGTTTTAAATATAACAACCCTGGTTAGAAGTGTTGAAGTCTGAAGAGCAGTTCGGAGGCTGGATAGAAATCCAAGATTATTATTATTAGTCTCATGTCTACAATCAGCCAGACTTGATAGAGATTGAGGAAATCTTGATCAGGTGTATATACGCTGTATAGTCATGTAGATTGTAGAGGACAAGGGATATCCAAGATCTAGACGAAATCGTCTTTGGACTCTTTCAACCATAATTTATTGATTGTTTTTGCCAACCAGCAGCCGTATAATGTAGTAGAACTGTAGGAGAAACCCAGATGAGTATTTGCACCACTGAATAGCGGACAAGGCATCATACATACAAGTTTGAAATATAGAGCATTGAGAGATGCTGCAGCCTAAAAGTTTTAAATCACGATATGTGTAATAACTACTTCAATAGTTCAATGTGAAGCCTATAATAGTTAGAAGTTTAGAACACTTTGCAAAATGACACCTCAATTATTAACTTTATTGGTGAGAGGTTGCGTGTGAGAGACGAGAGTAGTTAGGTACCTAATTCCCAGATCACTGATAAAGTCTTCGGCGAGTGTAATGGGAGGGCTATTAATTTTGTATCTAACTAGGTGAATATTATGAATCCTTGCACTAATTATCATCATGCACTATAACTAACTAGTACAGTCGTGCACTCGTGCCCAACCTTTTTCAACTTGAGGACCACATTCGAAATTTATATCCATATACTGAGGGTCGTATATACCGGTTTATAAATACACATTATTAATATACTTAAAAATTGTTTGATATTTTGTAACTCTTGATAACTTATTTAAATAAAATTTTTTTTAAATTATAATTTTTTATTTTTTATTTATAGGTGCCTATAGAAATGTATAAATTTATAAAATTGTCACGGGCTGGAGACAACCCGCGAGCCGCTGTTTGTGCACGCCTGATCTAGTATATTCTTACCATAAAGCGGGGTGAATTACAACTTCCAATGAGTTTGTTATCAACCGTTGCCCGTTGTGTTAGTTATATTTAAATATTTACAAATCGATATTTTTCTATTAAATATTTAAATTATATAATTGACAACCAGTTTAAAATATATTAGGTAGGTACCAATGTACCATTATGTTTTATAGAGTAAAAAAATATTAGTTACCGGTCATCAGGAAAACATAACAACAAAAATCATAGTTCAGCTATCATGTATCAAAATTAATAACGTAAATAATGTATTGGTATCAATAAAAATAAAATGTTGTAAATGTTTAAAATTTAAAATTAAAAAAGTTAAAATTCGTTAGGTATACCTATAATACCTATTTTTTTTTATATTTAGACCTTCAATAATGTCCTTATCTAATTTATAGTGATTTTAAGTTGAATAAATTACAGCATAAACACCTATACGGCTATCGGGCTATACCTAATACAATATAACAGTAGGCAGTGGCGCTTTGGGACAAAATATTTGTACATTAAATTATATACTATAGCGTATCGTCACAAATATAGTAGATGTTAGATACCTACACATAAATAGTTCAATTAGTACGTGATAAGGACGTACTTATATGTATGTGTAAAAATTATTTGCTTGCAATGAAAGTGTAAGGAAAGTAAGAACATTTGACAACTGAAAATGTCTGTAAACACCTCAAAACAAGTCAAAATATTTTGTAAATATTATGTTGTATAGAAAATGCTAATATAACCATTCAGTCGAAATTTCTTGTATCTAAGTTAATTTTTTTAGAGTTACACCAAAAACCAAAATAGATTTTGTCGAAAACATAATGTAAGATACTTGAAAAATGGTTATATTAGCATTTTGTATACACCATACAATTTTGAAAATAATTTGATTCTTTTTAATCTTTTTACGGACCATTTCAAATTTTAATTTTTTCAGTTTTTTTTTCTATAAATACCAATAACATTTTTTTAGTGGACCAAAAAGCGTGAAAATTTAATAAAAGGCTCCTGATATATTGTTACAATAGCAATTGAAAATATTAAAAATACATAGCCACACATTTTTTTTAAAAGCATTTAAAGTTCGAATTTTGACAAAATTTATCAAAATTTAATAATTATTTTGTAGGTAGTTAAAAATTTATAAAATGTTCAAATTTTATAGGTAAGGATTGAAAATTTAAAACAAGGATCCATGTAAATAAGTTCCATTAACAGCTTTTTCTTTTTTTCTCGTACCTTTTCAGCCCCACCCTTCTTTCGTTTTTCACCAGCGTCACCCATAATTTAAATTGTATAGTTCAATTGAATTTTTACACTAAACACACTTCTAAAAGTACTGTAACTGACTCAGTAACTCCTTCGTGTAAAAAGTTCAAAATCAAAATACATACAAATAATGACAAGATAAGGTTGTCAATGTTATCAAGCAACTATAACTGAATTCTACCATAAAGTATAAAATATATAAACACTAAAATACCAATACCACAGATTTCTAAATAATACATTAGCATCAATTTGAGGGAAAATAGTGTAAATACCAAAATTCCTACTATGAATTTCAATAGCTTAAGATATTAAAAATAATACCTTCGTAGATATTTGATTTTTTAATATATTTTATGCTTAATTTATAAAAATATAATTTTTTTTTGTAATTATATTGGCCCTGCCGGCCCTCACAAGAACCGGCCCATTCCCAATTTCCCGATAGGCCAATCCGCCCACGTACCTACCTAGTTAAACTACATACAAAATTTAAATATTAACCTATTTGAAAATATGAGCTGGACTCGTTTTAAAAATTCAATGATGAATGAATACACGTTCCGCGTCCTCTTAAGAGCACGTGATACCCGCATGTGTTGTCTTCGTCTTACAAGTGCTTAACATATCAAATTATACGCAAAGCAGAACACGTGTAGCTCCATTAGCTTAAAAATTAGAGTAAATTGACCTCTTATAAAATCTAAAGGTAAGATTATTATCTAGACAACCTCATGGGCTTTTTATTATATTTTTATTTTAAAGCTAGCTATGAGTATTTTAAAACTGGAAATTATTTGTACATTTTAAAGTACTTATAACTCACTTAAAAATTAAAATATAATAAAAATTCAAAAGGTTGTCCAGACTCCAGATAATAATTCTACCTTTAGATTTTATAATAGTGAATTGACATTTTATAAGAGGTCAATTCACTCTAATTTTTAAGCTAACGGAGCTACACTTGTTCCGCTGGGCATGTACCAGCTGCCCCCAAAAGTACCTTCTATTATACCCATTCCCCCAAAACTACCTAGAGCAAAATGTAACAGTTGCCCTCAACTAAATGTACCAGTTGACCCTAACCGAATGTACCAGTTGCCCTCATAAGCAGTGGTGTATTGGTAAATAAATTTATGGGTATACGCACCTAAA